GGAACTAGGATTTCGATATTTTTTTTTTTACGAAAAGAATACAAACGTTTAGTAAACAACATAGAATACAGACCTCATTAATACTGAGACTTTCCCTGGTACTTTTCGATATATAAGATATTTAAGATACAAAAAAACAAACAGCCTTACTATGCAGTGTGAAGTCTACAGGCCGCAGTGTGAGCAACTCTGTAACAATGCATTTCTATGTACAACCAGTTTTATAAGCGTGTGCTCTGCTAGTCGGGAACCTGGAGCATATTACCTTATTTACAAAACTAGCCACGGGATCTTATGTTAGGCCAGCTGAATCCAGTCAACATATTCACACTCAGTTTCTTTAAGATCCACTTTAACGTTATCCTTCCATTAAAGTTTAAATCAGGAGAAGGGATAGCTCAGTCTGTATAGCGACTGGTTACGGGCTGGACGACGGAGGAGTCGGAGTTCGAGTCCCGGTGGGGCAAGAATTTTCATTCTCCATGTCGTCCAGACCGGCTCTGGGGTCCACCCAACCTCATACACAATGGGTACCGGGGGCTCTTTCCTCGGGGGTAAAGCGGCCGGCTGACCACTGGCCTCCAGCTAGTACCGAGGTCAAGAAAATGTGGATATATACATCCACTGCCCCATACGCCTTCATGGCGTAGTGCTTAATTAGCTAAATCCAGGGACAACTTTACCTTTTTACGTTTTTATGTTTAAATCTCTCGAGCATCACGACAATGTGATTACTAGCGAGTTATATAATTAGGGTCAGTAATGCAAACACTAATAGGATATTTGCAATTAGAATCTGTGGCCGTATCCTTTACATTTAATGAAACCAAACAACTTCATGAATATACCTGCTGACGTGATAAGCGAACAATACATGAAACAATAGCTCTGAGGAGTAATGAATGGAAACAGAGAAAGCAGGAAGCAGGCTGTCAGTCACTGGGGTATCCAGTTAACACTGCCTGAATACCAGAGAAAGCCGACAAGTGCTCATAAAGTCAGTACCTCCTCCACAACCTACAAGGAACAATGGTAATGGGCTCTAAGTCACTCTCACAGAATTCGCTCACGAGACCTTTAACACTAGGATTAGTGTGCCTGCCCCAGCAGCATGGGGAGGGCGAAGGGGAGCTTTTGTGTTTTGCTCGTAGAGCGTGTACTGGGCACGATTAGTGTGGGTCTATATGAGAACTCTGAGTTAAGAGGCCTTACTGTTCACTATATAACATTACATCCAACTATCGACTTGTTAGACACTGGTTCCTTCAACATGAAACCTCCGGTTCTATCTTATTTGACTTGGTAGGAGATTAGTGATGGACAAAGCAGAACTGGAGCATAGTTTTCTCTGATTCTCCTCGGATTTACTAGCTAGTCAGAATTCCACTAGTGCTCCATACTGTCACCACCCCCTGAAATGCGCAATGGTTCGTACCAGGCAGCACACTATCACATCCACGGTCTTGAAGGTGGAGGATATATAGTAATTTTTAATCAGACATTTGGCTAAGTAGAGAGTAAGGAAATCTCCTTGAATTAATGAATTATTTAATGCATAAGGGGTAGACCCCAATAATCCGGCGACCTTCAATGATCTATTGTGTTTCCCCCTTTTTAGTTGAACTTTTATCAATCCTAAACTTCGAATGAAATGTAGGGCTTTGTTTATGGGGACGTCATAATAGTCACTTAGTTCCATAAAAAACTGGACCAAGTGCCGAAATCTTAAATAAGCTATGGTATCACAATCACATAGGATATGTGTGGCTGATTAATCTTTTACCAGGCACCGTAAACAAGTGGGGTCAGTCTGAAAAGGAGTTCTTTAGGTGACAGTGCCCTGTAAATAGTCTTACCACCCATCTTGACTGGTCTCTGATTAATTCGTTCTGATTCTTCGTTCTTTCGGCAGAGGCCCCTAGTATAAGTCCTTTTGTCTGTTTCAGTCCAGTTACGGATTCCAAATATTTTTTGTGATCTGTTCATCCAGTCCCTAACCGTTTTCTTGGCAACTCCAACTGAGATGCCGCAAGTTGGTTCAGGTCCTGTGAGCGGCTGTTCAGATCCTGTTCTTGCCAGGTGATCTGCTGTTTCATTCCCAGCAATACTCTCCTACTGAGATGCCGCAAGCTGGTTCAGATGTTCAGATCCTGTTCTTGCCAGGTGATCTGCTGTTTCATTCCCAGCAATACTTTCCTACTGAGATGCCGCAACCTGGTTCAGATGTTCAGATCCTGTTCTTGCCAGGTGATCTGCTGTTTCATTCCCAGCAATACTCTCCTACTGAGATGCCGCAAGCTGGTTCAGATGTTCAGATCCTGTTCTTGTCAGCTGATCTGCGGTTTCGTTCCCTGCAATACTCTCCTACTGAGGTGCCGCAAGATGGTTCAGGTCCTGTGAACGGCTGTTTAGATCCTGTTCAGGTCCTGTTCTTGCCAGCTGATCAGCTGTTTCATTCCCAGCAATGGTCTCCTACTGAGATTCCGAAAGCTGGTTCAGATGTTCAGACCCTGTTCTTGCCAGTTGATCTGCGTTTTCATTCCCTGCAATACTCTCCTACTGAGATATCGCAAGCTGGTTCAGGTCCTATGAACGGCTGTTCAGATCCTGTTCAGGTCCTGTTCTTGCCAGCTGATCTGCGGTTTCATTCCCTACCTTGAACCTTGAAATATATCAGAATATTGGGCGGGAAATCTGGAAAGCAAATACCAATTGAGGGGCCTGTGCTAGAGCTGCTCTTCATACAAAAAGGAATTTATATTTTGATATGGGGAACGGGCAAAACAGACTGAACTGACGCATTTAGCTTTTAACGTTACGATTAATGCAGATTTTACAGTAAACAAGGAGTCCTTTCTCTTTAATGAATTCAAATGTTCCTCACCAGTGCCGCGTCATCTGCAGTCAGTATAACGACCGGGTAATGATAACTGAAGAGGGAGATGCCTGCTTCCTTATGAAGTAAATGAGTGACGTCAGCCGCCTTCATTGCATCATTAATCTATGCATTATAAATCGGAAATCATGTGCTCAGGGTCATTAATAATTTGGCTATGCTCGACTGCGTTGCTGCACTTTCTTCTAATGACGAACCGGCACGTCTTAATTTATTTAGTTCTAATTAAACTGTTTCGTCTTGCAGACAGACACGAAAAGTTCTATGTCGATCGCAAAGTACGACGTGTGCTCTAAGTTAGTGCAGTTTCTGCACCTAAAATAGGGGTTTTATCCTTATTTTATGTTAACTGAATATGTAACATTGTCTGAAATTATGAATTTTATTTTTACTTATTGTTCTTCATAGTAACTCCTCAAAGCATGACCTACAGGCCTATCTGAAGTTACTGAGAAGACATTTCGACTATTTTGATATCATCTTACTAGCGTTATATTGATTTTGGTTCATTTACGTACTTCTCTGTTGATTTGATATTACTGTGGGTCATAAAATGACCGCCTCTATGGTCTAGTGGTCAGAGTTTCTGGCTACCGATCCAGAGGCCCCGGGTTGGATTCCAGGCGCTACCAGATTCTCTGAGAAGTAGTGGGTCTGGAAAGGGGTCCAATCAGCCTCGCGAGGATAACTGAGGAGCTATTTGAATGGAAAAATAGAGAGCTCCGATCTAGAAATCCGAGATTAACGGCCGTGGAAATCCGTTGCGCTGACCACGCGACACCCTCTATCCGCTAAATTTGGCACTAACTTCGTCGAAAAACGGTGTTCAATCGGTTGGTATAGTTCATTTGCGGACTACAGCCACGGAATTTGTTTTTGTTTTAAGGGGTCATCAAATAAATGAGGATAAGATGGGCGTATCATATAGCAGAGGCGTCATAAATAAGAGGTGCAAAAATTTTCAAGGCGAACATGAAAGGACAATATTGATGTTACTTCAATGAGGTGTGTGAACTCAAATGATACGACTCTGGAAAAGACTGACTGATGGAATCTTTTAAATTTAACAATGAACCTCGCGTTTTAATCAATGAAGGGAACTTGTTGGTCTGCTACTCATTTCTCAGTCTCTCAAGGACTGTGCAATGAAGTTAGCGTCTGCGTGGCATGACTCAAGAGTGGGTTAGTAACAGACAGACAGACCTCCTCTGCAGTCTAGTTGTCAGCGTTCCTGGTAACATATCCCGAGGTCCGGGTTCGATTCCAAGCGCTACCAGATTTTTAGGCAGCGCCATAATTCAAGCGGTTAGTCGCTGGCTTCCCACCGCGGCGGCACGGGTTCGATCTCGGGTCTGGTCAAGTGGGATTTGTGGTGGACAAAGTGGCGCTGGGGCAGGTTTTCTCCGAGTATTTCGGTTTCCCCTGCCAATCTTCATTCCAGCAACTGCTCCACAATCACCTTCACCTATCATCTGGGGCTGGTACAATAGGCCAGAAGTGGCGGCAGTACAAGGGACTTAGTCCCACCCCACTAGCATCAAAAAAGTAGGCAGACAGACATACAGAAAGCATTTCGTGTGAATAATGGCAACTAATCGATGTATACCGTTATAATCCTACATAATAAATTTAACGTTATGAGAGTGTGTAGAGCGGAGCATAAAATAAGGCTGTGTTGCTAAAAATATATAAGAGAACACTATACGTGTATTAGTAACCTTACTCTGGAGTAAGAATTTAACTGAATTGTGTAGGAATTTAAATTAGCCACATTACCTAGGAATGCATTTATATAACGGAAAATCTTTATAATTAACTTATGTTTGTGTTGTGCATTAATATGAAACATTGATAACAGAGGACAGAATCATTAGATGGCAACAACCTACGGCAGTAAAAGATACTTATGTTTCAGTCGATACTGCAGTCCACAACTTTGCCGGAAAAGTGCAGAGTCAGCGAAACAGCTCTCTGACGAGGTGTAATGTGTAACTGCGGATCAATGGTAGGGTTATCTGTGGAAATTGTAGCTAGAAATGGAAGTTTTACAAAATTTACCACTGAATTCTCAGCCAAAATAATGATAAAATTATTGTAGCTGTACCTGGTATGGGGTCCCTTGGTCCCCGGCGCAGGAGAATAGGCTCGCCATCCTCTCTGCGCCACGTGATCCGTGGCGGGGGATGTCCCGTTGCCTTGCAGACGAGCGTTGCGTTCTCGTTCTCTTGAACAGATAAATCCGTACTTGTTTCGTCATAGAGGATGTCAGGAGGCACTGCAACAAGCAAAAAGAAGCAAATGAAGGTACAAACTTACGAAATCAGTTACATTTCACTTCTTTCGGAAAGTCAATTCAATTACTGACAGAGGTCAAGATAACAATAACAATAAACCAAAATTTACGCATAATTAGAATAATAAGAATAAGTCAATTATAAATGTTAATAACTTTGAAATATTTTTTTTTAACCATGACGTGCTTGCAATACGAAATCCCGTCAAAAATAAATTAAGTTCTATAGTCATATTGAACTTCATTTTAGCTGAGTCTCTTAGCACAGAACAGGGATCTGTCTGGAACTTGTGGAGGACAGGGGAAGATAATATTAAAACGTATCTAAATAAGTGGGACTGGAGTGCGAATTGGATTGATATTGTTCAGGATAGAGACAAGATATTAATGAGTCTGTGGATTCCACATAGTGGAAGCTGGATTTCGGCGTCGGGGAGTGATCACTAGCCCCTCGAGCTGGAATCTGTTCCATGGCGTTATTTAGCGCATTCGATAAAAAAAATCCTTGATGGATATTGAAGCTACGAAACGGCAGCAAGATGGCTGATATACCAGGGCCGTTTCACGGCGACGACTCGGTAAACACGTTACCACAGCAATAGACACGAACGCAACAATTGAAGAGCTGTGTTTTCTATATGGCCAGTGCTGAGATTTCATAAGCAAGGGACAAGATTAGACCCAGTGAGTTCTGTATGACAGTCTGTGAAGAGGGGACTTAAACCCGAGGCAAAGGAATAGCCATTGTTGGAGCCGTTACCAGGATACGTCTAGTAACAGACTAAAAACAGTAAGAATATATGCTATAGTGAACTGTAAACTGTGGAAACAGCAATAGCGTTGTAGCTATTTGTAGTTACGACCTGTAAGTGGTCGTGGTCCAAACCCATTCTACAGTCACGTGACAATATCAAATATTCCCATTTTAAATTAAATTGCAATGACCACTGTTTCGTATATACAACGATAATCATGGTCAGCAAGCCGGTTGTGAAAGAGATATAGGATGATGTAATTGCAACAATTAAAGCGTAGGCAGAAAATGGAATATTAATGCGATAACATACTGTAATCGTCTCAAATGTAGTGGAATTATTTGGGCAATTTATGTGTGATGCGTAGTTATGATATGCGACAACAGGTCACTTAGAGGACAAGCCGATATCGCCAGCATGTCTCTACTCTCCGTTCAATAAAACTGTAACTGCGATGGGTGGGAATATAGTAACAAAGGGGGCACAGAGGGCTCCAAACTCAGTGATTGCAGGCAATACTAATTCTGCCGGCAGATGGATCTGCTAACCACTGTCCCTCTACCGTCAGCTACTTACTCATGTAGCTGAACCCTTCTTGAGGAGCCGCCAATTTTGCAGCCACTCAAGAATTTCCCAGCATTTTATGGAACCCGAAGGTTCATTATCGTGTTCAAAAGAGCCTTTCACTGGTCCCTATCCTTATCCAGATCAATCCAATCCATACCATCTCATCATATGTCTCTAAAATCCATTTTAACATTGTCCACCGACTTAAGCCTTGGTCTTCTCAGTGGTCTCCTTCCCTCTGACTTTCCAACCAATATCCTATACGCATTCCTCTTCTCTCCCATTCATGATACATTCCCTGACCACCTCATCCTCATTGACTTGATCATTCTAATTATACTTGGAGAAGAGTACAAGTTATGAAGCTCCTCATTATGCAGTTTTCTCCAACCTCCTGTCACTTCATCCCTCTTCGGTCCAAATATTCTCCTCAACATCCTGGTCTCAAACACCCTCAGTCTATGTGCCTCCCTTAATGTTAAAAAACAAAGGTTCACACCCATACAGAATCACAGTAAAATTATAGTTTTCTATATTCTAATTTTTATGTTTTTGGACAACAGACGAGAAGACAAAATGTTCTGGACTGAATTGTAGCAAGCATTACCCGAGTTCAATCGCCTCTTAATTTCCTCCTGAATCAGGTTTTAATTTGTTATCGTCGTTCCAAAATATCTGAACTGTGCCACATTTTCATAACATCTGTTTCCTATCTTTTTGCTCTGATTTTGGCCCTGCATTTTGGTGACGAGACAGCAACATATACTTAGTTTTCTCTGTGTTTACTTCTAGACCAACCTCATTGCTTGCATCAATTAAAGTCTATGTGTTCTTCTTTATGGTATCTGTACCGTCAGCTACAGTTATTTAAATAAAAAGCTTATTTAGATGACCTTCTTTAAACTCGTACTTTGTACTCTGTGCTGAATTAGTACAGGGCCAGTACGAGAAGTAGAGACCCCAGTATTACTGAATAAATATACCGGTAATATGTAATAAGATTACTCATACCAAATACTCTTATATCAATTACAATTTCAAATGTGCACTCTGAAATATAACTAGGGGACAGCTGCCGTACGTTCCGTTTACACAGTCATGGTGCGGCTGAGTTTGAAATTATACAACACAGGCAATTTATTTTCCACTTAGAAACTATTTAGCCGAACAGAATACGATTAGTACTTAAAAGATTATGCTGAATGTTGCACTGGAATTGCTTCTGCTGGAGGCTACAGCTCACAAAAATTGTTCACTGCATCGAGTCATGAAATTATCTCTGCGGTAAAATATGAGTTTTGCTTTACTTTATGTTCAACAGTTATGCGCATGCGCAGGGATCAATGTACCTGGTTTCAAAGCGATATAGCCATAGGCTCTTTCCCACAACTATCTCATTTGTCCGCTTGTACGCATTTCAAGAAAACCTAGTACAAATAGTATGTTTCCGGACATGTATTTATCTAAAAACCGTCCTGTTTATTTTTCAAAACACAAAGTTTCTGAGACTGGATTCTGTACACGTCTTCAGGTAAAATCTACTCAGTTGGGCCCAATAGATAGAGCTAGTCCATAAATGAAACACAAGAACAATGTGTAAAAAGTAGGTTTTACCTGAAGATGGAACTAGGATCCAGTCTCCGAAACGTTGTGTTTTGAAAAATAAACAGGACGGTTTCTAGCTGAAGACAAAATGATGGGTAATATCCAGAAACTTAATATTTGTGCTGATGTACTGTCGTCACAAACTTTTGGATCTTATTTACAAGAAAACCTGATTATCTCGGAATTCCAAGGGGTATGAATTTATTTTCCGATTAAGGCAGATTGTCTCTGAATCTAGGTATTTATACAGCATATAACTTAGGCGTGTAATTGTGTTCATGTGGTCCAAATTACAATTCGAAACTGATGCTCTATTATCTCATTATAGACTGAACTAACACAAAATTTCTGTGGTAGCGATGGGCTTATGCGCCTCATATTCTGAGGCTGTCCTTTCGACTTATGAGTGAATGATAATGGCTCATTTTTCAATCCGACTATTTTATCAGTTCTACATAAATATTGTGACACGTTGCGCAACGAAGAACCCCCCCACCATCAGTGACGCAGCGGGTGAGTCAGAGCCCCCCTCCCCCCTTCCGCACGGTAACGTAACGCGCAACACGCGGTGACGTAACGCGCAACGCTCCGTACCCGTAATCAACTTCCTACTGTGACGTGGCACGCAACAGGCACTGCGGCTATATAAGGGAACTGCACAGCAGCTACCAGTGAGTTGTAATGCGACAGTCGCCGAGTGTGGTATCAACAGTTCTCCAGTCAGCCGACTACAAGTTGGAGTATAGCAGCCGTCGCGGAAAGAAGAACCGGACGTGTGTGTGATTGTGTAATTGGGAGTTTGTGATACAGTGATACATAGCTCCCCTACTGTAAACGTGTAGACTACTGAACGCAGAGCGAGCTGATTTGCGCATAGGGTTATAAAGTGTGAAACCCCGCAACAGTGGTAACAGATTAATGCGATTAGGGTTATAAAGTGTGAAACCCCGCAACTGTGTGATAATTAATTGTAGCCGTTTCTTGTAGATTGTTGAATAAACCAATTAACGATTTCTACGGCGTATTCAGTAACGAAACACGTTACAATATTAACATAACTAGCTGTGCCCGGCCACGCCTTGCTGTGGCTCAGTCTGCCCGTTCTTCCCCAGTTTGATTTGCAAATACTCGACGCATTGCTTCCGCTCGGCGAGTATGACGACCCAAGTTTGATCTTCTGTGAGGCATTATTTGAATGAACTAAAGCAGATCGATTGCACTGATGAAGAAAAATATGCTAGCAACGGGCCACTGTTATTGCGTTTCCATGGAAGTATACGCTAACTGTTCTAGCGTTACAATTGAAACGACTGCTGGATTCGGAACATGTGGCAGGTTTTTACACGTTTTTACCTGTCACGGGTGTGACATCTACATAATAGGCACACAGAAAGACGCGCTTGTCCGAATGCAACGTTGTGTCAAAATTTCGAAGCGATCCGTGAAGAAGTTTCGGAGATCTTAGGTTAGACTCAAACGAACATTTACATTTTTATTAACATAAAAAAATAACTGTTTCAGTAGATAAATGATTTCAACTCTACATAAGCATACAATTGCCTTACATTTGTAGACAATTGTCCTAAATATTTTAATGCTCATAAAAACAATAAAACGTAATATATATTTCAGCATCCTGTTGCATTGGGGCAACAAGGAACATACAGCACTAAAACACACACAACTGAAGTGTACTACACTAAAGGGGAACATTGAAACAGCAGCTAAAAAATAGGATGAAAATATCCACCAAAGCAAATTACAACAATAACAACAACAAAATGATGAGCCTGAGAGTACAAACACAAAGTGTACAGTGCAGTGGTCTCCCCAAATAACAAGTGTTGCCTGATGATGGCCCATGTGCGGCCGAAACATGTAGCAAGAACAATGAATCTATATTATTAATAACATTTTAAAATATTTAACAGACGTTTTTGAGTGAATTAAATACATCTTAATGCATTTTAAGAAAGGACTGACGCTGTTGCATTACAGACAGAATACTTTATAAATTAAAAATAATAAGACCTAATAATTTGTAATAAGAATAAT